TTCTTTGTGGGCAAGAAGGACGGGGGCTTGAGGCCGTGCATCGACTATCGCATGCTGAACTCCCAGACGGTGAAACTACCATACCCACTTCCCCTGGTCCCAGCCGCCCTGGAGGAACTCCGTGGAGCTCGCGTCTTCTCCAAACTGGACCTGCGGAGCGCGTACAACCTCGTTCGAATCAGGGAGGGCGACGAGTGGAAGACGGCGTTCATTACCCCCGCAGACCACTATGAATATCGGGTCATGCCATATGGCCTGTCAAACTCCCCGTCCGTCTTCCAAAGCTTCATGAACGAGGTGTTCCGGGAGTTCCTCAATAAGTTTGTGATTGTCTACATTGATTATATTCTCATCTACTCCCGGAACCTGGTCAAACATCGCCACCACATCATGCAGGTCCTTCAGAAGCTACGTCAACACCAGCTGTATCTGAAATTGGAGAAGTGCGAATTCCATCACTCCTCGGTCCAGTTCCTCGGATATGTCATCAGTAAGGAAGGTATCCAGATGGACCAGGAGAAGGTTAAGGCCATCAGGGAATGGCCACTTCCACAGTCGGTGAAGGAGTTACAGAGATTCCCGGGATTCGCGAACTTCTATCGACGGTTTGTGAAGAGTTTCAGCATGCTCACGGCCCCTCTTACTTCCATGCTACGAGGCAAACCCAAGTCCCTGTCCTGGAACAGCCATGCCCGCGAAACATTCAACCAGCTCAAGGAGGCCTTCAGCACGGCCCCCATCCTTCACCATCTGGATCCCCAGGTACCATTTGTCGTGGAAGTTGACGCCTCTACCACCGGCGTTGGGGCCATGCTGTCACAGCAATGTGGGGAACCTCCAATCCTCCATCCTTGCGCTTAATTCTCCAGGAAACTGAACCCGGCGGAGCAGAATTATAACATCGGCAATCGGGAACTGCTCACCATTCAAACTAGCCCTGGAGGAGTGGCGTCACTGGCTGGAGGGAGCCCATCCCCCTTTCTCAGTGATCACGGATCATAAGAATCTCCAATATCTCTATGAAGCCAAAAGACTCAACCCTCGTCAAGCCTGATGGGCTTTGTTCTTCACAAGTTTCCAATTCACAATCACTTACAGACCTGGAAATCGCAATTGCAAGGCTGATGCGCTATCCCGTCTTCACTCTCCCGACATTCCAACAGAACCAGAACCCATTCTCCCTCCAGCCCTGATCGTCAGCCCCATACAGTGGAATATCAACCAGGACATCCATGACGCCACTCGCACCGAACCTGCTCCGCCGGGCTGCCCAGAAGGGAAGACGTACGTTCCCACCTCCCAGCGTCAGACCCTTCTGGGCTCAGTGCATGAAGTACTGGGCTCTGGACACCCAGGCAGCCAACGGACCCTCTCGCTCCTCCAGGCTCCTCCCGAGTATGGAAGGCCTTCTTCCGATTACTGGGAGTGACAGTAAGCTTGTCCTCGGGGTACCATCCACAGACGAATGGCCAGACTGAACGAAGGATCCAGGAGCTCGGACGTTACCTCCGGTCATACTGCCATGACGATCAGCACAGCTGGAGCCGCTACCTTCCTTGGGCCGAGTATGCACAAAACTCCCTCCGTCAGAATACCACCGGCCTGACCCCTTTCCAGTGCATGCTCGGTTACCAACCCCTGCTCTTCCCCTGGACAGAAGACTTCCGGTTCATCTCCAGGATTCCTGCAACAATCAGAACCCAGATTATCAAGAAGCTAAGAAACCAAGAACTTTCATATATCTCTCATACTCGCCTGCCTTCGATCCTCACCATTACAGCATTGTCAATAAACCCTTCTGTTTACCTGCACTCCTCTTGTCTCTGGCCTGTTTGGGACACATTTCATTTCCCAACATTTTATATTTAAAACTCATAGTATTATTTATACAGTTGTAATTAAACCGTGTAAATATCTAAATACCACCTCAGATGCAGCTTCTGCAGTGCAAAGGTCATTGAAATGGTAACAGACCTGTAGTTTATTATTATTATTGAATTGATTTAATGAATGTAAGAATCTGACATAAAAAATGGAACGTTTAAGGAAGAAAATTTCATCTCTTAATGGAAAGGTTCATTTCAGTCACAGTGGCTTATAAAAATCAAAAAATGTATCCCTTAACCAAAAATGTATTTCTTTAGTATTTTGACTTCTCACAACAGTGTTTAATACCACCCGACATTACCTTTGTTTAAACGTGCAAATATAAATAACTGTTTTATTAAAGTCACGCAGCACTAAAAGATTCAAAGATGTGTCATTTACAAAGAGTGTATGAAAGCAACATTTCTGTATTGGTGATATATTCTACATAGTGGCATTTCTTGAGTGAATTCTGACTGAACTGGCTTAAACTGCTGTAACTCTTGCAGGTTAACATGCTCCGCTGCGTAACATCTGATCTGGCAGTGCTGATGTTGCCTATGGTTCTGTTGGTGTTGCTAATGCCTATTGGCTGGAGTTTTCAAGCCCTGACTCCTGGCTGCCACCTTTACCGTGAGTGGAAATGAGTGACCACATTTTTATGAAGCAATCATAAACTCATTCTTATGAGAAAAGTACTAATTTACCCCTCTGTCTACACACAGCATTCAACGTGACCATACGGACAGACAAGCGAGGGACCTGTCGAGGAACTCAGCTGGTGTACGCTTGCGTGGGCTACTGTGAGTCCAGCGCTTTCCCCTCGCGCTACTCTGTGCTGCTGGCCTCCAACTTCACCCGCAACATAACGTCTGCTTCCCGCTGCTGCACCATTAGCAAGGATGCCAAGGTACAGCACTGTCACCATGGTCAACCCATTTTTATATTATTAAGACCAGTTTTACATCAGAAGAACCAGTTATGAACCATTATGTCTAAAGACTTTAATGGTTATATGGTCCTCTGTAGATTTCTGCACATAACAATTTCCACCAGTTCAGTCATGCAATAATAATCTATTCTGTTTTATTCTATTAGGAAATCATTTCAAATACATTGTCAACATTTTTTATTAAGAAAACTGAAAGTGTATTAATGATAATATTTATTCCATCGGTCTTTTCTCAGATCAAAGTTCGTCTGCACTGTCCTCGAGGCCGTCATCATGATGATATGGAGATCTTGACAGCGCGTGCCTGTCGGTGCAACATGTGCCACAAATCCCGTTACTGAGATCCCACATAAAGAACGCGTGACTCATGCTGTGCTGGAACACTAAGACTGGTGTGTAATTATTAAAATATGCATTTTTTTAATGAAAATTATTTTCTGATTTGACCATTTTCATTTGACTTGTAAATAGTTTGGGCTCAGTAGGATTTTAAGAAATTAATACTTGCATTCCGCAAGTATTGAATTGAATTGATCAAAAGTGACAGTAACATCTTTTGCATTTTTACCACAAAAAAAAAAAAGTCTATTTCAAATAAATGCTATTCTTTTGAACTTTCTATTTATCAAATAAAACTGGACAAAATGTATCACAATTTCCACATAAATATTAGGCAGCACAACATTGATAATGATAAACATTGATCCACATTGATAATACTTAATATTCCTTGAGCACTAAATCAACATATTTGAATGATTTCTGAAGGATCGTGTGACACTGAAGTCTGCTGAACATTCAGCTTTGTCGTCACATAAATAAATGACATTTTAAAATAAAAATAATAAAATGGTAAATTGTAATATTTTACAGTACTACTGTTTCTACTTAATGCTGCCCTGGTGAGCTGAAGAGATTTTCTTTCAAAAACATAAAAAAATCTTGCCGCCCCCAAACTTTTGAATGGTATAATAAAATAATATCATCTTCTTTTCTTTTTATCTTGTATCTAAAGTTGTAAGATGACACAGTTTGAAACAGCATGAGTGAAATGTTCTCGAATGTGGTGTAAAGACATAAAGTAAAAGACTACATAAAACAATTCAATATAAAACAATGGCAAATAGCATCAGATACTCTAATAGTTCAAATAAAAAAAAATGTCACCTTTTCTAATGTCGGTGCCACCTAATGACATAAAGAATGTATCTTACGTACTATATATTTATAAGGTGATGTTTGCATAAAATGTGTCTAATCTTTTAAAATAAAGGAGTACATGATGTTTTCTGTGTATGTTTTATTGTTAAATCATGTTTAAGTATATGACATCTAATGCATAACAATATTCATCATTTTTTTACATAATAAGCTAAGAAGAGAATGTGTACGAATGAGTTGTGTGTATGTGCCCTTAAAAGGTTTCACACTCTGTGTGGTTTGAGGAGCAGTAGGTACAGTCACACTGTAAGGCCTGAGGGTAATAATAGATTGGGGAGACACCAGGGCGACAACCTGGTAAACGTGCTGTCAGGTGCCGTGTAGGGCTGTAGGTACAGACACGGTGGTGCCTCTGGATATATGGCGGCTCCGGAACTGGCCTCTGTGATATAAAACATGCAAGAACACATATGTCACACAGAACTCAATACACAAACGTATACACCACGTGTTCTCATTTTTTAAAAACAGTTCTATAAATAAGTTTAATATAGCAGGTTTTGGTCACCTCCCAGGTGTGGCAGCGGCCCCAGCATGCCTCAGCGTTTATTCGCAGACTCCTGCATCCTGGCTTCTTTGCCACAAAAGCAGAATCACGTAGCGCACAGCCACGAAAACACTGCAAGGTCGTCACAGCAATGGTGGAGTAAAACCCAGGAAACAGGAGCAGAAAATTCACAGCGGTCACTAAGAAGTGGTCAGGGTACATTCTGAAAGAAATTATGAATAACAATAATGTATTTCATGAATTATCATAAAAAATAATCCTATGAGTTTGCAGCTAAATTTTTTTCTTAATCTTAATTAATATATGAATTAATGGAGAATCTCTGACGGACATGATTATCAAGGATTAATTGCCTTCTTCTGGCTACCATTTTCCCTCACACACACACACACACACACACACACACACACACACATATATATATATATATATATATATATAACAGAAGAAAACCTATTCTACCAAATATTGAGTACCGGTGTTCTTGCAATTGGCCTCTGATTGCATTTACATACGTGACCAGCAGACGTCGCCAGCGTCCGGTTTTCCGGGGGTTTTGAACTGCGAATCATATTCTGAAGAAATCCCAATTTCTACACACCACTCCCGTTAAATATATAAATCATAAACAAGACGTTCGTAATTGTCATCTTTTTTCGAGCGGAAAAGTATGTTCCAAATTATTTTAACTGTCACGCAAATTCCATTACATAACGCACATTAGGCTACATACAGGTAATGAATACGCAAACTTATATGGGCTAACGATAACTTTTGTTTAACTATCAGGCAGTTATTAGGGAGAGGGGAAAATCAAAGAATACTTCCATTTTTTTGTTGGTTTCATTTAATGTAACAATATTTGTAAATGTACAGTTTTATAATGTCAGACAGAACAGCCTTATTCATTATAGACATTTTAAATATTACCCTGTATGTATAAAATATGGTCGTTCTTTCTGAAGGGCATCAGAGGAGCAAACTGCAACAGCTTTGGTCATGTGACTGTTTACGCCAGCCATGATAAAATGTTAACTTGAAATCAAGATCTACACTTCCATTGACAAGACTGTTTACCGCGATAAATGACACTGAGGCGAAATCTGAATTAACTGAATTATAAACACAAAACAGCAATAAAACAAGAAACTGGAGGAGATTAACTCACCTGTTTGACTCCACAAGCAGATGCCAGAAGCTTTTAGGAAGAAAATTAGCAAACCATGTCGTTTCACCGAATGCCTTGCTGTTTAAAAGCTGTTGCTGTTTTAATAGGACAATCTGACATCACTCTAATTATAATTACCATTAATCTAGACCGGGACATTACAACACACTATATGCAAACTTAACCAAACACGTTTTAAACATCTGCTCGTGTTTTAGGAATGAATGAATGACTTCGGCTTCATGTCAATGATGTGATTGTGAACAACGTTTTCAGCCTGACTAAAACTAAATGGTCAGCTTTGAACAACTTTCAGAAGTAAAAGAAAATGTATAAATATGTGACCCTGGACCACAAAACCAGTCATAAATAGCACGGGTATATTTCTAGCAATAGCCAAAAATACATTGTATGGGTCAAAATTATCAATTTTTCTTTTATGCCAAAAATCATTAGGATATTAAGTAAAGATCATGTTCCATGAAGATATTTTGTAAATTTCCTACCGTAAATATTTCAAAAATGTATTTATCATTAGTAATATGCATTGCTAAGGACTTCATTTGGACAACTTTAAAGGCGATTTTCTCAATATTTCATTTGGACAACTTTAAAGGTGATTTTCACACATTTGTCATTTTTTTGCACCCTCAGATTCCAGATTTTCAAATAGTTGTATCTCAGCCAAATATTGTCCTATCCTAACAAACCATACATCAATTCATAAAAATTGACCCTTTTTGGGTTTTGTGGTGTAGGGTCACATATGGTAGGCTACTAAGTGAACAAAAACCCCAGAGGTGTCAAAGGTTTTGAGTGAAAATAATGACAAATGTGTTCATGATGCATGAGTTATTCAACACAAGTTTTCATGTTTACATCCCACTTTTATACATTCAGATCCCAAAGACGCTTGTCCCCCAAAAATACATTGCTATGTTTAAACACAAGACATTGATCAAAAGGACAGTGCAACTTTAGTTTAAGTGATGCTACGTATGCGTATAATTTCAGTCCATATTTATTGCCATGTCTAATCTATTCCATTTTTCTTTTCCATTTTTGTTCCTATGAAATGTGATGTTTCTGCAGATACCAGTTTTCTCAAACAAAAGGAGTCAATCCAGGTGCTTTCTTTTGAACAAGAACAAGAGTGCTTGCTTTTCTCACCCTTTTCTCAGACAGACTACTGTAAATCAATAATCAACAGTGGCAGTTCATTTGAGCGTTGACGCACACTCAAAGTAAATGGTACATTCTGATCTAATCCCTGTTTTCTTCTAAACTGTAATAAACTTCTCTACAACATCCGCACACACTCGCGCATCAGATTCTTCTTAAGCTTTCTCAATATGCCTACACACGCAGTTCCTTCCCATTAGCAATCCTCTACATCAATAAATATAAGCAATAAAAAAACACAAAAATCAAGACAAAAATAAGAGACTGTCCTCTCTTGAAACTGTACTGAAGTACAAAGAGAATGTTTGCAAGCAATTTGATTTTAAAAAGAAATAAATAATAATAAAATTAATAAAAAATCACCGGACACACATTATTCAAAACAGATGAGAATATTGCTAAATTAAAATATTTTGAATGTAAAAAAAAAAACATAAGAACAGACTAAAGTGTTGTCACTTCAGAGCAAGTTTAGTTTTACCTAGCAGCATACTTCAGTCATGTTTATGAGGTGCTACACTAGAATACCCCCACCAACACTATAATCAGACATAGATATCATATTTATATATATATATATAAAACATCAGTTATATTAGCATAGAAGTAGTACTCATAGAATAAGCTGTAGAAGTAGGAACATTAGAATCTGTAGAATTTTCATCTTTAGGATCATCATAATTCATTCCTCTTCAGCGTTTGACAGAATGCAGAGTCTGTTGGTCGATTGACGGGGGGCTCAGATCGGGCCCGAGAGAAACAGAGGCAGTTCTGGAATGACAGTAATGAAGGATGTGTTTGATTGCGAGTGTGCGCATGTGTGTCACCCCATGCAGGTATGTTTCGCATGGTAATGTTGATGATCCCGGTTCGTGTAGGAATAGAAAGAAAAGACGCAGAGAGGTAGGTGTGTGAAAAGCGTGTATGAAGCATATGAAATAGTAGGACGCATGTGAGAGGTACTCATTTTTTTCTCTTTTATATCTCGCTCGTTGTGTGTGATGTGTGCTTCAGTGTTTTTCAGATATCTACATATGGACAGGCTGTCGTTCATGTGCTTGTGCCGGTAGTGTCTGCATGATGTGCGTGTGTGTTTTCAGACCGAGATTGAGGCATTGATTGGTTCCCAAGTCAGGTAAGTACTGTGTTTTACAGTGCTGAGATATTTTATGTGTGTGTGTGTGTGTGTGTGTGTGTGTTTGTGTATGGTTTCTAGGTGGTGTTGGCAGCGCTGGTCTCTGACTGGCTCTTGGTTGTGTTCTCTCTCTCCTGCAGGTTCTTCTGGTTTCTGCTGGCCTCGGTCAAACTCTGCAGCCGCCTCTCCTGCAGATCCTCCAAATTTCTCCACAGCTCGACTCGCTCCCTCTCCTTCTTCAGCTCTCTGTAGGGAGGAAAGAGGTAAGGGGAGGAGTGTAAAACAGAGCATAAAAGGCTTTAGGTGAAGATGAGAGAAAGATAAAACGGATCAAAATATGTGCTTTGTTCACATTTAACTTCTAAATACACATGTCCAGCCTAATTGGTCTGTTTTATTACAAAAATAAAAATCTAAAATAAAAATGTTAAATAAATATAGAATAAAAATAAATAAAATTAATTTTATAACTTGCTCCAGTTTCAGACATTATTATTATAATATTATTTATTTACTTATTTAGAAACAATATTTCCACCATGGAATTGGTTTTCAGTGGCATTTTTACCTTTACCTATATTGTTTTTCTAACCATAAACAGACACCAGTGACTTTAGTGTAACTTATAGAACATTATAGTAATTATTACTATTTTTAGCTTAAATTTGTATATTTTATTATAATTTATTTTAAATTTTATATTAATTTTATTTAGTTAAGTAATTTTATTTGTGCATTTTTTAATTAGTTTTTTCTATTTATCTTTAATTTATTTTTATTTCAGTTTTAGTTCTAGGCATTTTATTATGTTAACTTATCAGGTTTAAGTTATGTAATAACATATATAACTTAAATTAATGGTTTTAGTTATTCATGTAATATTTACATATTAAATTATATTATAGGCCTACTATATTTTATATGTATTATATATGTATTAGCATATATATATATATATATTATAAGATCTGGCAAAGTTTTGAGCTTGACATACTTCAAAGTGACTTTAATTCTCGTTTGATGTCACCTATCCATTTTATGTTGTTGTTGTTGTTGTTTTTTTGTTGTTTTTTTATCCATTTTAATTTCAATTATATTTGAACTCCTTTCATCCAACAACTTGGCTTTATTCTGGTATGTAATGACCACTTTTTAGGAAGCAACCTATGAAGTCTTGTCCTACACTTTTACAAGCTAAATGAGGTGTAATACTGTTCATGTTGACTTCAGCACTGTCATGTACTCACTTCTGTTTCTCCACTTTGTAGGAGGCAGTGAGATCATCAAAGAGCTTGCTGTTCATCTCCATGAACGTCTTCAGCACATTGTAAATAAGAGAGATGATCGTCCTAAAAAGACAACAGAGAAATGTCTAACAGGCCTATGCAAAAACAATTGCATTGTCTTAATTGATGTCAATAGCATTAACGTTATTGAAGTTTCTAGACGCATCTTAGAATGACACTGACTGGTTCCAGTGCTCTTTGGAAACTCTGTACAGCGTGCCAAAGACCAGAGGCAGGATGACCTGGCAGTTCTCCTCTATTAGACTCAGAATGTACTCATTATTCCAGAAATACAGAGCCCGCTCTGCAACCTGAGACAGAATAAAGAGACAGAATGAGGGACCTGTACACAAACAGGTGCATACATCACCTCCATGTGTTCACAAGTACTACAGGAAGACGTCTGACGAGCAGCACTGGTGAACGACACAGTGTGGGAGGATGCTCGAGTGTGAAAGAGGAAGCTGACCTGGAAATGAGGGCTGGAGATACATGCAGCAATCTGTTTGAATAGAGGCTCCTGCACACGGATAAACTGAGACGGTTCAATCACGTCTAGAATCTCCTCGATCTCCCCCAGGAACATCACCTAGGATCACATGACAGAATTATATACTGTATAAACACACTACCAAATATTTCCAGGCAAGCACACTTGGAGTGAAGTCCATTTTCAATCAGATCTGTGAGTGGATTTCAAAACTCTTTCAGCAAAATGTGAATTAACAAATGTGACAGTGGACCACAAAACCAGTCATAAGGGTCAATTTTTCGAAATTGAGATCTATGCATCATCTGAAAGCTGAATAAATGAGCTTTCCATTGATGAATGGTTTGTTATGATAGGACAATATTTGGCCGAGATACAACTATTTGAAAATCTGGAATCTGAGGGTGCAAAAAAAAAATCTAAATATTGATACAATGTATTTTTGGCTATTGCTACAAATATAACCAAGCAACTTAAGACTGGTTTTGTGGTCCAGGGTCACAAATGTCATAATTCATCAGCAGCTATTAACGGCATTAACAAACAACACAACCTTCAGCATCTGCTTAAAATTTCTCAACATAAATGAAATAATCATGTCATGTCATTGGTCTGTTACATATACAGTATTAGTCTGTCACTAGTAATTATCACTAACCTGGTTTCTATTCACACATTTATGTTTTTTTGTTTTTTAAACGTGCAACTTGGAAGAAAACATAGCCATTATCTGAGACAGGGCTTCCCAAACAGGTGTTCTATAATTATATAGAATGTAAAATTATAATAAATAAATGGGGCTGCAATAATTGTGATATAGCTTAGTGTGATTATCAATTCAAAGGCTGCATAACTGGTCTGATGCACTGCGTGTTTCAAAATTATTCATTATTATAATTATCAAATATTCATTTTATATTTTACAGTATAAGTGTAATTAGTTAAAACACTGATAATAATACTTATTATAATTTTTATCAGCATCAGAGAACTGTGAACATGCAAATGTGTTATAAATATTTGAAATATTTACTTAAAATCTCAGGGGGCACTTCAAGTGAATCTTTTTTGTCTAAGGCAGGGGTAGGCAAGTTCGGTCCTAGAGAGCCGCAGTCCTGCCTACCCCTGGTCTAAGGGGTTCTGCTGACAAAAACGTTTGAGAACCCT